CTTCCCCCACCAACCAAAAAGAAAGGAAACATATAGGGAGTAAGAGAGGGACAGAAGAGAACATGTCTAACTAACCACTTCTACGTCCATTCAGAACTTAACAGTTAAAATACCACGTCAGATGCATAATACTCAAACCTGAGCCCTCTTTCTTCTCAATTCGATATACATCCCCTTCACAAATGTCCTACTTCCCTCTATTTTCTATCTAAAGTCAAATTCATGCAAGGCTTATGCACCTCACCTCATCAATCTTTTTCTAACCGAGAAATCCTCGAGGACTAGCTTGGAGCACAGTTCATACTCAGTAGATAATGGGCACGCCCCTATCTGATGTGACAATTTCTTAGTTTTAGTCATATCTTCCACAGGAAGACAACCACGGTCAATCAATCTGGAGCACCTATGCTTGTATTCAAGCAAACATTTGAAAGAGTCATCTTAGCAGGAAAGATACTTTTCCTCTTATTTTTTGATGAGCAACTTAGCCAAAATAAACAATGAGAAACAAAGGGTTGCGGCGAACCAAATTCAATCTGTTGATTCATACAGTTCATACTTGATTTCCCATGCAGTGGCATGGGCATCCAAACACAACCCAAAGAAATTATCAGTGTATAGTTTTATTTTTATTCAAAATATGTTTTTAGAGAGACCAACCTGGAGAGCAGATTTAAGGGCACCTCTAACATGATAGAACAACTCTGTATCCGTAATCTCAACATTCTCCATCTCAGCATAGCCTGCCTGCTCAGCTGGTAATACCATCCCCATTATGTTTGATACTGCTGAATATTGCCGAAATTTCCTCTGAAACATCATCATGCGGAAAAGACCTTATCAGCAAGGTAAAAAAAAATGTTCTATAGTAACCAGCCATAGACCCTTGAATCACTCATCAAAATGCTTATTCAAGAAAAGAAACAGCTAAAAATACTCAAGTCTGTTTAATAAAAGATATATCTCAACAAGACAACAGCACATACTGAAAACCATATCACGAATTACAGAACTATACAGTGATATAAGTTCACAGCTATTACTTTAATCTTTATGGAAATTTTATTATCATAAAGATGTCCATTACGAGTGACTTCAAGAGAATGCTACACCATAGATTGATTTTGAGTCTTAAAACCACGTTAAGCTTTTCAAATTTTAACTTGTTATCCGCATAGATGCAAAAACCACTGAGCCCTTGTCAATTCAAGCAAGAAAGCACCGGTCTTTCTCAATACAAACCAGCAATAATACCCATCTGGAACCAGTATACAAAACAGTCCTATTCAATCAACGAATCAGCAATTTGATGGTTGCACAAATAAAAGGCTTTTACAGAAAATTGATTTTAACGAATGTCCAATTACTGCACAGGCACAAATTCCGGCCAGTGTATTAACTAGTAAAAACCCACGGGAGACTAAGATATTGGCGTTAAGCTTCTTTAAATCCTGGGAGCACACAAAATATTATAGTCCAATTCGCCAAAAAATCATTTTTTTCAGTAAAATAGAGGCCAAAAAAAAAGATGGTCGTTGTGTATTAGAGACAGACAGATAAACGATAATATGTAGAGAGAGTGAGAGATAAAGAGGAGCATACACTTCGATTCCGCCGGAGAAGGAGAAAAATGAGGAATTCGGCGTCGGAGGAGATGGAGGAGCTAGAGAAGCAAAAGTGGCGCCAGGTAGTAGAGGGCTGAAGGAAAGTTCAATTTGGTTTATTTCAAGACTCGCCTGCTATAGACGTGAATTGTTTGGGCCGTAATTGGCCCATGATGCTCCGAAAGCACTTGGGCTTTTAGCATATTTGGCTGGATACAGCCGCTAGTTAAATATACATTAATTATGTACAAAAAAAAAATATATATATATATATATATATATATATATATATATATATATCGCACATATAAATTATATTAATCTATATTTATATCTATATCTATTCTATATTTATATCTATATCTATCTATCTATATCTATCTATCTATCTATTTATCTATATCTATATCTATATCTATATTCTATATTATTATAAAAGCACGAATAATTTATGCTAAATATTGAACGACTAAAATATCCCCGAAATATTGATCGGCTTTGATGCCCTTAAATATTTGTATAATTTAAGGATCTAATTGTAAATTATCTAATAATAAAATTCTTTTACAATTTAAACTACATATACGGCGACCCTATAAAGTTGATTCTACTTGGATTAAAAAAGCACATCCATAATTTTCTTTTAAAAAAAGAATTATTATTCCTAATTACAAACAAATATATAATTGTGGGAGAATAGGAAATTTATGTAGGGTATTGTAAAGTCATTACAAGATTATTCCTACAAGGATGATGTGTTGTATTTGGAAAGAGATAGTCTATATGCTTAAATTTCTACAAATATAAAAGAAAAATTAAGTATTAAGCTCTAAAATCATTCATAACATTTTAAGCAAAGTGAAAATTTTTACAACCATTTAAAGTCCTATTAATAAAAAAATAATTAAATAGTAATTTTTTAAAATATGAAATCTAAATTGAGTATTTTCTTTCATGATGTAGAAAAAGTATTTTCTTTCATTAATTTCAACAAAATGATTACTTTATTTTCATGTTGTAGAAATAGTACTTTCTTTTTCAACCAAAAAAAAAGTATTTTTTTTAGTTATGGAGCACAAATTTTAACATTGTTTTTGCGTAAAAAAGTAAAGCAACACATTAGTTCCTTTGATTTTGTGTGAATTTTAAGAAGAAAATAAAATCATAAAAATGTTGGGTATCTGAGAGGAGGGGGGAGCATATGAAACATAGGGACTTGGGGGAAGGGATGAGGAGAGTAGCATAAAAAATATTTTCTACTCTTTAACCAAACACTAGAAAATATTTTCCGAAAAAAAGGTTTTCACTCACCAACCAAACAAGGAAAAATAAGTGATAAAACCACTCATTTTTCATGAAAACATTTTCCTTCATACCAAACACACCCTAAATAATTTTGCATCACATAGTTTTGTTGTCATGTATATCTTCCATATGTTAATGTTTCTATCTATATGAATTTAACAACAAAAAAAAAATTAAAATGATCTTCATTTACATATAGGTTAATTTTGAAGAGAAATGCGCCCATAACTTTATGGAGAAACTTGAATCACTTAAATGGATTATGTAACGGTACAAGAATAATTGGTACAAGTTTTGACAATAAACATTATATTTTCATTATGCAACTTTCATCTCTAAAAAATAAAAGGCATCCTTTTAAATTTTTCGAAAATTGTTTTCAATATACTTGTGTTTTACAATAACAATAAGTTAATTACATGGCCATCACAATATGAATTTTCATATGGACAACTAGATATTTTACTTTTAAGAGGGAGAAGCCAAAGCTATAAAAAGAAATGTACACCAAAATTAAAAATGTCATCCGTAAAGAATTATTAGATTTGATGATACTACCACATTGCATATTTATACACTATTATTAAGATACTTTATAATTTAAGTAAATTGATCATCTTTGTGAATTAAGACGATATCATTTTGTATAAAAGTATTTTGTTAATGTAATACCATTAATTTCTAGATTCAAAATGGTTGTTGTATTTTTATCATGTCAATTACTTTATAATGATTATTTTATCTTGTAAATAATTCCTTAATAAATTTAGTTAGTTGCTCTTTCACATAAGAGTACTGACTAAAGATTTATGTGCAACACACGTACATAGTAACTAGTATTATTATAAAAGCATGAATAAAATGTTGGATTATAAAAATAACCTTTAAATATTAAGCATAATAATTCATAATAAAAGGACATAATCGAAATTATAGACATTAACCTTGTAATCCTATTAGTTTTAGGACATAATACTATACGTTAGGAATCCTACATGATTACCTTTAGGAATCCTGTTAGTATCATTATTTTTGGGAATAAATATTAGCCTTGTAATCCTATTACTTTTAGGATATACTTCTTAAAAATTTTATATTACTAATTTAATTTGAAAACGTATTATATTGTCTAAAACCATTTTAACACAGGAGAGCCTATATTATTATAAAAGTACGAATATAATACTGATAGACCAAAATAGCTCTAAAATATTAAACAGAAGAACTCATAGGGAAAGGACATAGCTGTAGTGTCACGACCCAAAATCAACCGTCGTGATGGCGCCTATCGTGGAACTAGGCCAGCCTCAACTCAACAACCCAGCACAGCAAAATAACTTTGAAAGAAAAGAAAAAAACAAATAAATAAAGACGGAAGCAGTTAAAGTTAAAGGAACCTTTTAGAAAACATAAGAACAAGAACAACATACCCAGTAAAATCCCACTAGTGGGGTCTGGGGAGAGTAGAGTGTACGCAGACCTTACCCCTACACCGAAAAGGGCAGAGAGGCTGTTTCCAGGAGACTCTCGGCTCAACAGGAAAGGCAATAATATCAGAAAAGAAATAAGCGAAAAGACATGTAACAATAAAAGATACCAGAAAGAAAATAACCGCAACAAATAAGTGAAAGGACAATAACACAAAACTATGCAAAACACCAATGTGAATACAACAAAGATCGCTAACAAACCTACCGAAACTCTAACAGAGTACCTGGTACAAAGAGGGAAGAACTCTCGACTACCCCCTATCCTACCATCCTAATGTTCGACCTCCACATGTTCCTATCAAGAGCCATGTCCTCGGAAATCTGAAGTCGTGCCATGTCCTACCTGATCACCTCGCCCCAATACTTCCTAGGCCGCCCTCTGCCTCTTCTTGTACCTGCCAAAATCAACCGCTCACACCTCCTAACCGGTGCATCTAGGCTCCTCCTCCACACGTGTCCGAACCATCTAAGCCACGCTTCCCGCATCTTATCGTCCACGGGAGCCACGCCCACCCTCTCCCGAATATGTTCATTCCGAATCTTATCCAGCCTAGTGTGCCCACACATCCATCTCAACATCCTCATTTCTGCTACTTTCATCTTCTAGATATGTGAATTCTTGAATGGCCAACACTCAGCTCCATACAACATGGCCGGTCTAACCACCGCTTTATAGAACTTACCTTTGAGTTTCGGTGGCACATTCTTGTCACACAGGACTCCAGACGCAAACTTCCATTTCATCCACCCCACTCCTATACGGTGCGTAACATCCCCATTGATCTCCCCGTCTCCCTGGATAATTGACCCTAAGTACTTAAAACTTTCTCTCTTGGGGATGACCTATGAGTCAAGCCTAACTTCCACATCCGCTTCCCCCGTCACATTGCTGAACTTACATTCCACATATTCTGTCTTAGTCCTACTCAACTTGAAACCTTTAGACTCTAGAGTCTGCCTCCATACCTCCAGTCTCCCATTAACGCCACCTCGCGTCTCATCAATCAGAACTATATCATCAGCGAACAACATACACCATGGCACCTCTCCTTGGATATGGTGTGTCAGTGCGTCCATCCCATAACCACCGGAAAAGGCTCTGAGTCACCTCTCATAGTCCTAACCCGAGTCATAGCTCCATCATACATATCCTTTATCGCCCTAATGTAAGCCACCGACACACCTTTCACCTCCAGACACCTCCAAAGGACGTCCCTAGGGACCTTGTCATATGCCTTCTCTAGGTCAATAAATACCATATGCAAGTCCCTCTTCCTATCCCTGTATAGTTCCACCAATCTCCTGATAAGGTGGATAGCTTCTGTAATAGAACGGCCCGGCATGAACCCGAACTGGTTTTCCGATATAGACACCGCCCTCCTTATCCTCATTTCCACCACCCTCTCCCAGACTTTCATGGTATGACTTAGTAACATGATACCCATATAGTTGTTACAATTCTAGATATCTCCTTTTAGAAAACATAATAAATCCCAAAATACGATATAATCCAGCCCAAAGTCGGGGTGTCACTGAGTACATGAGCGTTTAAGTCAGAATACAGTCCACTACAGTGTCTAGAGAAATAAACTGAAAATACGACAAATGATAAAGAAGGAGAGTCAAGGCTTACGAACACCGTGCAGCTACCTTGATAGTCTCCAAACTCTGAAACCTCAATCAACAACCGTCGCCGCGACCGGTATCGCCTGGATCTGCACACGAGGTGCAGGGAGTAACGTGAGTACATCAAACTCAGTAAGTAACGAGTCCATACTTTGGACTAAAGGGTAGTGACGAACTCAACCATTACAAATAAAAATAGAAATAATTGTGCAGAAACGTAGGCATGCTTTCCATTTAATAGGCAGTTCAAAACAGTAAAGTAGAGCAGATACGGGCAATGTAAAGAATATAACTCTGCTACCTCTACATGCCAAGGCACATGCTGTCAACCTCATATGCTCACACTCTCAAATACTCAACCACTCGGTACTGTATATGGCTCATACGGCCCAGGGAAGATCCATTCTGGAATATATATACATCACTAACAACAGTAACTAAGTACCGAGGAAGGCCAACCCAGCCCTATGGAGAAGATTCAACTCCAGGTATCAAATGCTTCGGACAAGATCCATGTCTAGGGAAGATACATCCCTCAATAATATCAACTGCGCTCACTGGTGGTGTGTACAGACTCCGGAGGGGATCCTACAGCCCAAGCGCTATCACAAATCAATATAATCGCTGCGGCATGCGGCCCGATCCCATAACTGTCACTCATAATTAGGCTCTTGGACCCAC